TCTCATATTTTAATAAAATACAAATTTAAAATATGTCTTTTTTTGACGAATCACCAATCGATATTAAAATCGAAACACCAGAATCTGATATTGAAAAAAACGAAGTTGTAGATTCAGAAAGTGAAAATATTTTTGGATCTTTTATAATTTTGTTAAAGATAGAATATTCACACAATCCAATAACTTCGATTTATAAAATTATTGATGAATCTGGTGTGTCTTTATATATTAAATTTGATAAAAATAATCAAACATTTATTGAAGCAGCTTATAACAAATTATGTGAATATTTCGAACCTGATTATGATCGTCTCGAATCAGTTTATAGTGGAAAAAAAGTAAACAAAAAAAATATTATTACATATTATTTAAATGATTTGGAATATTCTATTTTGGAAACAAAATATATATTAGATATCATTGATTTAAATACTTTTAGTGATGAATTTGAATTTAAGAATGATGCTGTTAAACAAAAAATTCTCAATAAATCTGAAAGATTGAATAATGATTATTATAAAGATTATATTGAAAAAAGAAAAAGAAATTATAATGAAATTTCTATTGGAGAAAATGCTGTTGCAAAAATTCTTAAAAGATATAATAACGAAAATTCTGGAACATCTATTAGAATTACACAAAAAATTGAGATTACAAAACGTAGTAGTCCTTTTGTTTTTGGATTTGTTGGAGCACCTGGTGTTGGTAAAACTACTATTATTAATAAAATTAAAGATCATTTAATTTCAATTGGAATTGGAGTAGATGAAATTTATATTAGCAAGGAATTACGAGATATTATTTCTGAAATGAATAAAAGTAAAACAAAAAATAATATACAAAATGAAATTACTAAATATTATAAAAAGGTTTATCAAGAAATCGAAAAAATGAAAAAGTTAAAATTTATTTTATTCGATTATACTATTTATGATATTTTAATTTATAATGAAGAGTTTCTTGAAGATACAGTTCAGAAAAAAATGATGATAGGAATTAAAGAGTTTATTAATAATATTGATTTTGATTTAATTATTAATATTGAAAGAAGTAAAGAAGATGTATTAAAAGTTCGAAATGATGATGAAAATTATTCTGAATTTGAAATTACGAAATTATATTATAGATATAATATTATTAATGAAGAAGATTATGATAATACCAAAATTTTTACATTTGATAATCATGGAGAGTTTAATGATGAAAAAAATAATATTTTAGTTGATTTAGTTGATAAATATATTAGTATTATTAATTAATTTTATTTTATAAATGTTTATTTTCCTAATTTTATTTTCTTAATTTTATTTATAATTATATTTTATTTAATAAAAAAAAATGATTAAAACACGTGAATATTTTTTTGGAAATAAATATCCAGATGATAATAAATATTCTATGGAAATCATAGATGATTATATTGATTATTACACACAAGAGTATTATATGAAAATTAAATG